AAAAATATCAGAAGTGGATGATTTAAGTAGTAGTAGCAGTAGTAGTAGTAGTATAGTATTAGTAGTGGTAGAAGTAGTAGTAGTAGTATAAATATAATTAATGTACAACAACATATATACACACAAAGAGTAATAAACATTTAAGCCTGCATAGTGATACATTCAACCACAATTGTTCACCTAACACTTAGTATAAATAAATAAATAAATATGACAAATTTCGTTAAAAAAAAAAGGGTGGGTGGGTGGAAACTGACGCGAACACAAAATAGTGATATGATGAGAAAAATTTACATTTATGATAACTTTTGAAAATATTTACGATAGAATATCTCTACAACACACTTACACACACACAAACACACTTACACAGAGATAAACATAACCTACTCACGGACAGTTATATAAATACACGTATATAAACAATGAAAATTTAAACAAGAATAAAAGAGATATATACAGTTAGTGATAGAGAGAGTGTACAATAAATAAAAAAAAACAGAAGAGGAGTAAAAGTAAAACATGAATATTAGGCAATAGTGAAGAGGATGCAAAGTGATAGAGTATATATATTTGGCAGTTATATAGTACAACCAGTTTACAAAAGTCTAATCTATAAATAGCGGTATATATATATTTCAACAAAAAAAACAACAAACGATTACACTGACTTTCATTTGATATCTTTACTCCATTTCTTGTCATTCACTCATTTCCTGTGCGTTGTATAGTATTAAAGATACATATATATCTATATATATCATAAAATTGTTTATTTTATTATTGTCCTTTCCTGTGAAATATGCGTATGTATATAAAAATAAGTTTTGTTGTTGTTGTTGACAAAGTTGCATTTTATTTATAGTCAGTTCAATAACTTGTATACACATTTTGATAGATACTATATATATATATATATATATATATCCACGTTGCAATGAATTCTTAATGTTACTTTACCATTGACGTAATGGGTAATGAATATAGGAAAAATTATTATTATTATTATAAGAAGCTTTATTCAACATTATATTTTTGGTACAACATAGAATTCTCAGCATAAAGTATTTCAACAAGTTTCCTTTTCTTATACCTTGATCTATTGTGACGATAAATTTTGAATGATGACCGATTAGATGTTAGGAGTTCGGTAATCCACATTTGATTAATGTTCATTCGTTTCAATGCATATTGCCAGCCACCATGATGTCGCTGATTGTATCTTTTTGTATCATGTATAGCGAAAGGTTGTAAACTTTTCATAAACGCGCCTGAACAGATTGTGTGCACAAAAGACATAATGATGTGCTAAAACAAATAATAAAACAGATAATTTGATGAAATATCTAGATCGGAGGAACAGGTAGCGCAGATATTCAAGCAGGCCACCAAGTATCCTTAGTCAATGTTTTAAATTGTTAAATATCCTTGGCAAATTACACAAAATTCTATTTTAAATCATTATTAGTTTACTTATTCATAATCATGTACAATGAATTGATCACTAAGTAATGATATATGACATGTTTGTTTAATCTTTAAATAGATGATTAATTCTATCATTCAAATTGTTCATTAGTTCAACCGATTAAACACTAAGTACATGTTGTTGAGATGAAAGGTAGCTGGAAGTAATTGACAAGAAACTCTAAACTTGAATTTCATATTAGTTTACATTATTCAACATGGAATATTTGTAATTTTGAGGGAAGTGATGATTTTTATGGGATTGCAATTGGATCAACATTAAATGACTATGGTTAAGATCATGAACCAGTTGAAACTAGACCACCATGGAAAACCTGGACGGCCGTCTCGTCCTATTGTGGGACTCATCAGCAATGTGCACCCACGACCTCGCCTTCTGCGAGATTCAAACCCAGGACCTACTGGTTTCGCACGAGAGCACTTAACCACTAGACCACTGAGCCGGTATCCAAATGACTCATGATCGTAACCATTGAAATTACCATAATATCCACAAAACCCATCTGATATTAAATGAGTAGAAAAACACGGCATTAATCATTGCTCAGCGATCAATTACTTGTAAATATCTCAGTTCTACAGAAGGTCAGTTGTGGCTAGAATGTTACAAATTATGATACTGAATGAAGAGTGTTCGAATCCATCAGGGAGGATCATTTTTCCCAGTATTATGAGTATATATTGTCCTCCAGTCCCAAATAACATAACAACTAGAATAAGAAGGATTTTATGTAGACTGAATTAAAATTCGGAATAGTGGTAAACAGATTTATACTTCATAATTCATTGATATCGTGTCTACTACTAGATTAACATAGTTTAGCACTCTCTTATGGAATATTCTAGATACAATTCACTGACAAAGCGAAAACAAAGTCAAAAAAATTTTGTGCGGTACCTTATCAGTTAAATTTATAGTAGAAATTCTCATTCAGTTATTATTGTTGGAGTTCATTGAACACGAAGCTTAATTGTAAAGCTTTTAATGTCACCCCACACAACATCATTAACGCCTACATCTTATTGAAATGAGCATAATAGTTATTACTGTAGAGTTAAAACTATTCGTTCTGATCCTTTTGTTGGTGACTGGTTATCTTCTAAAGTTTTGTTGTCCAGTTCTATATGTAAACCCTAGAACTGAAACATCTAACCCACCTAGCTCTATAATAGCCACAAAAGGATCCAATTGAGGTGCAATTTTATATCTTATTCATTGTAACAATTCTATATTAAGCTTTGTCGTTGTTCAGTTGTACACATTTTTATGATGTTTTCAGTTTATTTGATTATGTAATGCAGCCAAAGTGAATAAGCTCTGTTAAGTCTGTTACACAAATGTTTAATACTGACTTTTTAGTCACTTTCTAAATCAGTATGGGGTTGTGGAGATTATTAAGTTTTTGTTGAGACCATGAATCAATTGATGTTAGACCACCGTTGGAAACCTGGAAGCAATGGACGGCCGTTTCGTCCTAGTATGGGACCCCTCAGCAGTGCGCATCCACGATCCCGCAACCCGCGGGATTCGAACCCAGGGCCTACTGGCTTCCTGCCTGAGCACTTAACCATTAGACCACTGAGCCGGCATCCAATGGTGTTAGTGTCTAACATCAACCGATCCATGAAGTCGTGACCAGTGGAGCTAATCCGTGTCGGGTAGAGACAGGTATCTACCTCAGTACAATGGAAGTTGGTCGCGCAATTTCGTGGATCGGTTGATGTTAGACACTAACACCATTGGATGCCGGCTCAGTGGTCTAATGGTTAAGTGCTCAGGCAGAAAGCCAGTAGGCCCTGGGTTCGAATCCCGCGGGTTGCGGGGTCGTGGATGCGCACTGCTGAGGAGTTCCATACTAGGACGAAACGGCCGTCCATTGCTTCCAGGTTTCCAACGGTGGTCTAACATCAATTGATTCATGGTCTCAACCAAAACTTTCTAAATCCTTGGAATTTTCCCATATTTAAAACTCAAACAATACAAAGAATGCAATGAGTTACCAAACTAACTTTACTGCAAGGTTCGTTTATATACAGAAAATAATCGTATTTTTATAGGTCTGCTGACAATCGTTGACCATCGAGAAATGTCGATAGTATTTCAAATTTAATAGCAGCGTAATTTATCATACAATTTACATACGACACTTAATATGTCAGTTTTCTAAACATTTTTGAAGTGTATCTTATCAAAACGAAATGTTTTCAGTTTTACTGTGGATTTTGATAACTTCATTGGGGAATTCTCTGAGGATTCCGATAGTTTTAACTATATACATATATTATAAAGATAAAGGATATGAAGCCAAAAGTGGGAGAACATTTAATGGTTTAAAATGACTAATCTCTAATCCCTATCATAAAAACATATTTTATTATATGTGCTTCCGGATGTTTAATAATAAACTGCATCATGAAAATAATTCACTATAACACTGAAAATATTGTTCCGGAAATCAGAAAGAAATCTCCGCAGTTTTTTCTGTTTCTATGGGATCAATGAAACATAGAAACACTTTTAATTAACTATTATGATAAAAAAGGGTAGAAAATCGAATATATGCTTGTCACGAATTAGTACCTTGTGAAAGCAATACAACTGACATTATCGTCATTTCAATCAGACTTCGAAATTTTCTGAAACTGTATTTCCATCGTCTGATTATTCCTCTCATTCAATGTGTCATAGATTCCAAAAACATTCCATACGCTAGAGTTTTGGTACTGAAGTAAGTTTCTCAAGAGCTTCAATTAACTATTAGCTCTTAGCTCAATACACTACTCTAAACCTAATGACTTATTTAGGTTGGTTTAGTTTCCAATGTAAATGTTTGAGTAGATATTTGAAGAACATTGATTGATTTGTTACAGAGCGAATGTACTCACTGTCCTACGTTTTCTTAGAATTCTCATATAGTCTTGCATCAAATTAGTATAAGTTTATTTAAAATGGGAAAATATAGATTATCTCATTTGATATTTTGTCAAGATTAGCTTATATCTTAGGTTTAATCTGTCGTAGACTGACCTCACTTGGCTAAAATTAGAAACCAGAGTGCAGTGGACAACTGTTTTATTTTAGTATGAGATTCCTCAGCAGGGTACAGCCAGGACCAAGGTAGCCTTCAAATCAAGGAATTTTGAGTTTCGTGGCAAGCACTAAACCATTAGAACAACTTGGTCTACTTCCAGCATTATGATTACACCTACAATCAGTTTGCGATATAGTACAATGATCATACCGTGGCATACGTGACATTAGTTTCACTCTCTACGTCTCTGGGTTCCATCAGTTACGGATCAATACAGTTGAGAAGTCCCACGTTGGGACACAACAACAACCCAGTGCTCCCTGATTTGCAATGGTACCCCTATGGAAATCAGTATGTGAGGATTACGATCTTTAAACGATTTAATTTTGAAATATTACTCAAGGTGTTCTCATCGATTAGAATAACTCTTAATCTATTAACCATATCATAATTGTAATTTTCATTATCATATAAATATAGCCTTCTGCGTGTGATTCAACTATATCAAGTTTGAATAATCCTCGAATAACATTTCTGCCACCAAGTCTACGAATTATACAACGTTCCATACCATTATATTTAATTGAAAGTATTCCAAGTAGTCAGTTACCAGTGAAAAAACAAGGTATGTCTTCAACTGAACATTGACCAGATTTTTTTGTTTTAATTTAAATGCATTAGGAATGTTATATTGACAAAATAACATTGAAAGTCCAGCATAACAGTTTTATAAGTAGTTAAAGAAAGAAGTCAAAAACAGCCTAATATAAACCTTTTTTTGGTACTTATGTATTTTACTAGTTGAATTCATGAGTCAGTTTAAGCTACACCACTATTGAAAACTTGAAATCACTGGACGACCGTTTCGTTCTAGTATGGGACTCCTCAATAATGCGCATCTATTATCTCATACGCAAGACTCATGAATTCATTCGTTAAAATTACTACAACCTCCACGAATCTTCATTCTGATTTAAATATTTCGTCAGAAAACTTCAAAATTTAAACAGAACTGGATTATTTTAGATAACCAGAAAAGAGCTATAACTTAGTAATTAAATGATTCAGCTATAAAACACAATATGATCTTGGTTTGAAAATATAACCACCAAATTTGTTGAAGTTAATTGGTTATTGTTGTTAAACAGAAGTGTATTAAACTTACCTAACAAGCAGTAAACTTTATGTTACAGTTTAAATCACAAACTGATCTTAGTTAAAAGACGACTGAGAACCAAGAATTATTGTACAGCTATGGGAACTCAAGTCAAGTCCTGTGCAAATTTTCGTCTATAGTCTAATAAGTAATTTCATTAGTATTTCTCTTTCAAAGATTTAATAAAATACACAAAATAGTTATTGTGAAATCTTATTTTATTAGATGGACATTTTTATTGGTAATGGGAAATCGTTCTTCTAATAGTAGTAACTGACCTAATATTAATTATCAATTAAATTCGTAAGAGTTTTCATTTGTCCTGTTGTTGATATTTTAACTGAAATCTAGTCGTTCTTAATTGGCATATATACATCCTGTGCACAATGCTTTGATATAGCCATTATGACACAAGATTATATAGGAAAGATGGAATGTGGTTTTTAGTGGAATCAAGGATGCACGCTTCGTCTTAGTTAGGACTCATTAGCCTAGAATGATAAAATTTAAGTCAAAATGCCAATAACGGAATAGTCGGGAACATCAGAATTTCATACTTGTTGCTCAAGTGAGTAGCCATTTGAACTTAGTAGCTTAATGGATAACGTGTTAGAGTTTGAAGTGAAAGATACTGGATCTAAATATCGGAGTAAACATCAACTTTGAGACATGGATACAACTAGCTGACGAGCCCCGAATAAGATAAAATGCGCACCCTGGAATCCACTACTAGCTAGATTCTGTCTATTCTACTCAAACTACCTTTAACTGGTTTTGACGTATATTAATTATGCTCAACTACCTTATACAGCAAAGTACATCACTAGTGGACGCAGTGATCGGTTGGAAGAGGGTAAGAAGTATTAAACTAACACTTATTCACCTGAATCGAATAGTAAGATATAGACTTTTTGTATGCTTTTAAATTGATAATCATAATTTTCAGTTTGAGAGTATAAGTGACATAGATTAAAGTTGATCTCAATAATGAAACTTTATTTATTCTACATTTTCATTAATTCTTTATTTTCCTTAATTTTATCTCAGTTGATTTTTCTCTTACTACCATTAATACTCCTCGTTTTTCAAATCGCTTTCCTATCTGACTATTTCTATGTGGTAAGATATATATATATATATATATATATATATATATATATATATATATATATATATATATATATATATATACCAGACCTTGTTTTGACTATGAATAAACGACTTTTAAAGTTAGTGAAATATTATACTGTATACAAGACACTATAAATGACGAAGAAAGAATACAGTGTGGAATTCAGGACGCGTGTCAGCTGGAAGTACTTGCATTCTCAGAGTTGATGTTCACTGTGGGACTTGAATCCAGTACCGTTCGCTTCAAACGCCATCGCGTTATCCATTTAGCTACTGCGTCCTGATAATCACCTGTTTGTGCAATAGGGTAAAGTTTAAATTTACTTAGTATTGGTTACTTGGATCTTCCCATATATGTTTATGACTGCGATTAATCAGTGTCTTACTGATATATATGCATGTTGTGCGTACTGCCTTAATTCACAAGCATTATAAACGAAGATGGATAGTAGCTAGCAGTGGAATCCAGGATGCGCGTTTCATTTTATCTGGATACTGGGTTCGAGTAGCCGAGTGAATGTCAAATCTAAGATGCAGGTACATACAGCTGACGAGTCCCGAATAAGACAAAATGCATGTCCTTAATTTCACTGCTATCTATTATCCATTTCTTCTTATAATGCTTGTGATTTAAGGCAATATTGAGGTAATCCTCACAGGATGCATATACGCCAATTAGTGACTGATCATTTGCAGTCCTAAACATCAATCGAAAGATATGAGTAAACCATATCAATTGAATTTAACTATCACCAATGATAAAATATACTTCTTCATTGTGTGTTTCATCTTATATTTTGTGATATGACGGAAAGAAAAGTCAAAATTCGATTGATTTACTCATTATGAGTTTTGTTCAACATTAATTTCGTTTTGATTCAATGTGATGATGAATGTATTACTGACTATCGTCGTTGTCGTTGTGTTTTAGGGTTAATAAATCTTCACTTATACTAGTATTTGTGTTCTTACTTTCGTATCGTGGGAATTGTAAAAGTCCCTTGTTTCCAATATAAATGATAAGAGTTTCTGACATAATAATCAGTATTGACCAGATATAACAAGTACCATTCAATTCAATTAATAAATTATAATATTTTGTTTTAATTTTTAGTTACATCAAGAATTTGTGGAGAATTATATTGTTCAAATACATTACATATATTATTAATGATGAGTTTAATTGGTATATTAACTTGTTTAATGGGTTTAATGGGTATGTTATTAGCACGTAAATATCGTCATCATCTAAATCAAACAAGAAATTCATTAATACAATCAAAATCAATCACAATCAAACAAAATCATTGTACAGAAATAGATAAAAATTATTATAATCCAATTAAACAATCATCTATATCACAATATATAATTCATAAACCACAATGTCAATCAGATCAACAAATAGATAATGAAATATTCAAAAGTCTTTTAACGGTTGATAATCATATTACGAATAATAATAATAGTAATAATACTAGTAGTGTTAGTAATACTAGTAGTAGTAGTAATAGTAATAGTAGTAATAATAATAATAATCAACCATATACAATGGATATTAAAGATTGTTGTAAATATTGGTTAAATGAACATTCATATGCTAATCCTTTATTATTACAAAGATCTTTACCTCATGATCTACCATTACACCAACATCATCATCGTCATCGTCATCATCTTCATCCTCAACAACAACAACCTTATCAGCAACATCAACTTTATCATTCACAATGTCAACAACATCAACAACCATCACAATATGAATTACAACCTTATCAAATTTCACCATCATCTACAATGGCTACTCCAAGTCATTGTTCATGTTTAAATGAGACATTATTTACTGATAATAAAATAATACAAAATTTATCTAATTATTATACATTAAAAGGTTATACTACATTACCAATAATAACTACATCGAATACATTTACATCATTTAAATCAATAGAAAATTCTAAACAAAATGATGATTATCCATTGTTGAATAGAACAACAACAGCGTTTATATTGGAACCAACACATACAATGATAAATAGTATCAACAGTAGTAGTAATACAACAACAACAACAACTACTACTACTACTACTACTAGCACTATCACTACTATTAGTAATAATGATACTCATAATTATGGAAATAACAATAATATGAGTATAAGCACTATGAGCAATATTCATGAATCCATTACATCATCGTATTCAACAACAAATATCAGTAGTAATAATAATAATAATAATTCAGTAATATATTGTTCAGATCAATTAACAGATTCTTATCCCCATTCTTCAATTCAACTCCAAGATGATGTAATACTATTTCAAAACAATAATAATTCAACTAATGAACTAAATAATAATCAATGGGGTACAATAAAAAATGTACAATTTATAAATAATAAATCTAATCATTTATCATTACAATCTCAATATAAAAAATTATCTACATTTGATGATACTATTTATTTTGGTATAGATTATCATAATCCTAATTGTACAATAAATCCAGTAATAGAAACAATACAATTAGATACAAATGAATTACAACATAATCAAATACAATCACAATTTATACAACAATCATTGAAATAATAATAATAATAAGAAGAAAAAAGTATGTAGATTCTTGAAATGTATTAATATAAGTAATTGAATATGGTGTAGAAAGATAGATATTTTTTGACGAAGTTTTGCTTACTAGTGAATGACTTCAAGAGATATATTCTGGAGTTCTAGTGAGAAGCTGTTACCAGTAGATTTCAATCAGGTCGGTTGTGAGATACAAATTCACTGAAGACAATGATGTACGGTGAGGCAACTTCGTGGATTGATTGATATTAGACATTGACACTGTTTGATGTCGGCCAGATCAGTGGTCTAGTTGGTTAAGCGCCTGACACGAGACTGATAGGTCCTGGGTTCAAATCTCACGGGGGGCGTGACCGTGGATGCGCACTGCCGAGGAGTCCTGTTCTAGGATGAAACGACCGTCCAGTTCTTCCAGGTTTTCTATGGTGGTCTAGTTTCAATTGACTCATGATTTCAACCAGCAAAGTTTCTTGAAGATATTACAAGATTGATTTTAACTAGTACTTACTTACTTAAGCATGTCACTTCCAGTAAAGCATAGACCGCCGACCAACAGCCTTCAACCCACTCTGTCCTGGACCTTCCTTTCTAGTAAAATGTAATAATTTTAGTCAGTGACAAAAATTCAAATTTGAATTGTACAAAATATTCATAATTCAAACTGTACTTATTAGAGGTAATTTTACATTTGATAGTCTATGATTACCACGACGCGCAATCCTGACCAGTGTTAGAAACATATGGAAGAAAGTTAGGGATGACCAAACTATAACGTAGCATCAGTTCACAAGGTTACTAACATCTGGTCTGAGCTATGTTGGTGGTGGATTCAGATTACTTGGTTGTAGTCTGTGTGACTATCGTAACCAATGATTAGAGACTCTCTGTAACATGGCTCAGAATCGATCATAATGGTGTCGGTGTATACATTCTCCATCTTTCAAGGACAGTTAAATGATTGTGTTTATTTGAATGTGTTGAATATATTAGTCTATAAGAATTAAAAAGTTGTTACATCATATAATAATGTAGTTAAAGATTACAAAGAGATTTCAAGTATTGAATTCAATAGACTATAGTAAAATAAAGATATTTTACGTCATTTCTAAAAGAAAATAATAAGCAGTTAGACTATAATTTACGTAATTATTTCAGAAGCAATAAAAAACAAATCATAAGTTAAGGGACAAATATAAAAGAGAATTGTTTATACTTGATGAGTCTGAAATAGATGAAAAATAAGAGAATGGATGAATGTTAACACCATGGAATATAGAGACTGATTCCACTGACACTAAGTGTTTAGTTCATTTTTATATTGGTTATTTGAATCTTCTCATTGATGTTTACAACTGTAATTGATCAGTTTCATATTAGCATATATGCATCCTGTATGGACTGCCTGAAGTCACAAGCATTCTAAGTAAAGATATATGATGGTTAGTAGTAAAATCCAACATGTGCATTTTGAAGAGAGTAAGAACAAAGGTTGGTGCAGAATAATATGAATTCATTTTATTTCGTTAGGTTCTCATCAGCTGCTTACAACTTATACAACAGAGGGCGATGAAGGATGAATATATGTAACATAATGTGGTAAAGATTTCGTTAGAGGGAACTATGTGTATGAAATTTCTGAAAATGTGCATTTTGTTCGATTTTAAAACTTGTCAGCTTGTGTAAAAGGGTGAAGTTTTAGTCTATTTCTTTTTTAATTAGTTGTTGATAAGTGTTTAAATTTGATGATGTGTTCAAGGGTCGAATAATCAATTGATTTGAATTCTTTTTCAGATAGAGATCAAATAGGTATTTATTAACTATACTGTTGTAACGGGTGGATTGCACGGTTTTGATAAGCAGCGTATATTATCGATCGATTACAGTGGCACGTAAAACACGTAAGGAAGACCTAGAATCCCGATTGGTCCCGCCTCCCTGTCTAGCCCAGCTAGTTGAGTCTAGAACGCAAGTCACAGCCTCTGAGTTATGAATCATTATATTTCAGACATACTCTATTTATACACCAAACAAACAGATCACATCGTACCATAAAATAGAAAACAATATTTGTACAATATTTAACAAGTGGAATAAATACTGACCAATAGGGAGTGTACATTTAAAGTCCAAGGCCACTATTAGACTTAACATGATAATTATTGGTATATTCCTCCGCATACCTAACATATACATTTCTTGATTCTTTTCAATGTGAATTTTTTTGTTTTTGAATGAGATCATGAACCGATTGGTATTAGATCACCGTTAGAAACCTGGAAGTACTGGACGACCGTTTCGTCCTGTTGTGGGACTCCTCGGCAGTGCTCATTCACGATCCCGCTCGCGAGATTCGAACCCAGGGCCTTCAGTCTCGCATACGAACGCTTAACCTACTGAGCCACTGAGCCGGTATCCAATGGTGTTGGTGTCTAACATCAACCAATCCACGAAATTGCGCGACCATCTTCCATTGTACTGAGGTACATACCTGTCTCTAACCGACAAGGATTAGCTCCACTGGTCATGGCTTCTCACTACAACTCCGAGAATTCCCCTATACTGACCATTTTTTGTTTGTTTTCATCTTTTCAGAATGACAATATAACAGAAAAACGGATTATTGATTCTGTTAGAAAGAAGAATATAAATCTGCTCATCCGTTTATACATTATATTTCATTAATCTTCAGTTATTATTATTCATACATTTAACTAACATGTACATAAATGACAAAGAAACTAACATCATCAATTCAGTGTATACTTTAAAATGACACAGCAAAGTTTGTTATAGTACATGATTATGCTCATTTTATAAGTTGTACATGATATATACATATTACTTAAATATTTATAAGGAAGTAGCTCATATACAGTTGTAATATATATATTGAACATTTAAGGAGTACATTTTAAAACACAAATCTTTAATGAATATTTACAAGAAAAAGCAAACAAACAGAACAGAATAGTTCTCCTAATTAATGGTTGTGCACTAATTTTGATAATGATTTATATAATCAAATTAATGAGAAATATTCTACACAAATACATAGATACAAGTACATAGGGACATTTTGTATACACATACACACATTTACACATACGTGCACACACACACAAACACATGCACAAATCTATCTCGTTTGCACTAAATTTGTTATGACTTTACTTTCTTTCAAGAGAAGGAGAAAAAAAGTGAGGAAAGAATACGAACTTAAGGAATAACATAATGTAATCTTTATAAGGTTCTGTTTAGTTGGACCATTCAGTTAAACAAAGGAAACCATACATTGTAAATTGCGAAAATGTAATTTGTAATATTTTACATTTGAGAAAAGAATGATAAACTTTGATTTGGGATTTTATTTGTGTTGAACTTTCTTCAAGTTTAGGAGCACTGTTTGTTTTGTTTCGTTTTCTTTTTTAATGAAAAAATATGTAACTTTTACTAAAACGTTCTTTCGGTTTCTTTTTTATATGCGAACTGTATACAACATCCTTACTGAACGTTATTACTATGAAAATTGGGGATAATATTGTTAGTGCTGAGGATAACTTGTCTAATCTGGATTAAGACATTGACTCGATAGGCTGACCGGTTTAACATTGAGGCTAGAACACATGAGTTTGAAGTGGGGTAGAGAGAAGAAAACTATACTATCAACTGATTGGCTGAGAAGTACGCGAGTGAGAGAGAACAAGTCAACTGGAACACTACTCGATTTAACATCAATTCCAATCTGGTTCCCAATTCCCCGATTTCAGATTAGTGTATTAAGGTCCATGAATAAATAGATGACTAACCCGACCACAACGTACAATAATTAGGAAAATACAATTATGTCCAAAACTGGAGGTCAGCGTAGAGTAGAGTACAAGATAAAACGTTTAAATTACAATAGCTTTGGAACAAAAAAGGCTATGTCAGTGAACCATACATCAAACGAAAGCGTATGATATGTAGAAAAAACTAGGGTACAAAAATAAATGTTACTGTTTTACAAGCTTTGAATTAAATAAAATAATGTCCCGGAAAATAGTCTCCGTAGTTTGTCAAGGCTTCTTGTTTCTCTGTTCACACCAGAGAATAATAACGAAAATTTCTAATGAGTCTTAAAAATAAGTATATAAGATATTTTAACATTTTATGTAGATTGGAGAAAATAAGGAACATTACAGTCTTGTGATGTACATCCACTGACCACTTAGTACTTACCAACGCCTTATTATAAAAGTAAAGGGTATGTGATTATCAAAGTTTATGATTTACATCAAGAGCTTATTTTAGTCAGAAAGCTAATGAAAATTAAGAAGTACTTAACAGCTATTTAATCATAGTTTGTGTATCCATGACCCTATCGGGAATAGAACGCAGATCCTGAAGGTTTTATAGCGTGTGCCCGACTATTAGACAACTGAGTCGAGATCCGATGGTTTATATTACTAATTTAATTGTGCAATTATTTGGGCTTCAAACCCAACATAGCTGAATTCCAAGAATCACTTTACGAAATGATTCACCAGTGACCATAGGGAAATTATTAATGTAAAAGCTTTATGAACATTGTTCTCTGATTTTTCTACTGGTAGGATGTTTCCACTTTATTTGTAGATAATACCCGTAAGCTACTAGTATTTGATAACAGATGTCTTAGAAATATTGCCCACATCTTCTGGGATCATCGGGTAAGTAATAGTAAACATAGACGCGGGGTGTTAGGGAATGATGGTAAATCAGTTGATGAGGTTGTGCATCTACATCGACTGGGATTATTTGGCCACATATTACGCATGCCTACCACGGTGTGCAATGCTGATTAGTGTTGGAGACGGATAGAAGAAAGCTGGGGATGGCCAAAACAAAACGTGGCATCAATCCATAAAATCACTAACGTCTGGTCTGATCCATGTTGGTAGATGCACACTAATTAGTTGAGGTTCGAAAGACTATCGTAAACAGCGGTTGGAGACTCTGGGTGACATGGCTGAGAATCGATCATAATGGCGTAGGTGTATACACTCTTTGTCTTCCCTTTCACCGTGAGATGAAAATTACATAATACCTTACCATCAACGAACTAATTCCTCCCGGTATCACATCTTTACGTGCAATCTTTTTTTATATATTACTACCACTGAAGTAACTGCTGCTATGAATTCGGTGTTCATCTTGTTGTGCTAATGAGGTATGGCAGCTTGGCCGATGCATATGTGCCTTGTCCTACATTATGGCTCACTGACTCTAGTTGTAATATAGTCACTAACCTGAATGAATCAATTTTGAGCTGTAACTATTTTGGTGCTAAGTGGTTAGAAGCAAGCATCAGGAAG